AGGCTACAAATTTATAGCCAAAGGCAACAACTGTATCATGGCTGTAAATCAACTTGTGTGTGTGTGTGCGTATTATAACATTATTATTATCATTATCGTTGTTGTTGTTGTTGTTGTTGTTATTTTAACAGAAAGCACTATGGAGCCAAAATCAGCATGTCCAATTAGCAAAAGGGACTACATATTAAGTTCAAAGAATGTTTTTGCGTTATCTGATTCTAATAGCCCTAGTAACAGAGCTTAATATAACCTGTCATTTCAAGAGCTATAGGGAGAACAAATTGCTGTTGGCGGGGGAAAGGTTTGGAACATCATGGAGCCTGTCCTCTCCTGACATCCTACTCAGCAAATTCCTCACAGATTTCCTCCTGATGTCAGTAAAACTAACATAAAGGTTATTTCATAAAATCTTGTGTGGATTGCTAACTTGTGAGAAACTGAAGGACCCATGCCCAGAACAACAATACAGACTCAAGTAAATAATCATAGTATTTGTGCTTACAGCTTAACAAACAAGTGAAACAGAGGAGAGGCTAACAAGTTCTCATGCCAAGTACCAATGCTGTGAGCACATATTGAAACAAGTAGCCAGCAAATGTTGAAATCAAGGTGACTGATCATATAAAGACTTCTTGTTTGACTGGAGACTGTTAGGAAAGGTTTCCAGTTTAATGTGCAATATGATGAGGGGTGGAAAAAAACCAGTAGAGTTAAATATTAAATGCTAAAGTCATTACAAATCATACCAGCTATTTCTTCAGGGAACACAATCCCTTCAGCAGATCAGGAATGCTGTAAGATATAGAGATATGATCAGGGCAGACAGCAGGAGGACATTTGTTGCCAGTGTTAGACTGCCAGTGTCCCCAGAATCAATTTTGGAACCCTGGTGAAACAACAGATAGGCAAAGTTTTGGGATTTTGGTGTTTGCATACCGAAATAATGTCATGCAACTGCTCAGAAACTTTTCTTCTTTACCATGATGCCATCAGAAATACAGACAGTTGTCCAAAATGATAATACTAAGCACCCCTTTCCAGCACACAGTATTTCAGCCAAGATCACTGGTATGTTCTGGCTACTTCACGCTGCTCTAATTAAAACTCAGTCATCCTTACAGCTGCTTTGTATTCCTAGAGCACTGCACAACAGCTGGATCATGCCGTTGCTTTTGGCCCTTAAACTCCTTGGAAATTACTGTGTGAATATCTAAACTTTGGCCCTTTGTGTCTCCATTTAAGCTTGAGTTCACCTGCACAAAACACCTTTGTATTTGGATAACATGCTGGAAAAGTATCAACATCATAACTGAAGACAGAGTAGGTGTTAGCGTTACACTGATTTCGGCAGGATTTTACACAAAAAAAGGCTGTTAGGGGCAACGTCCCCAAGAGTGACAGACTGTCTGCCACACTTACTGTGACATAAGACTTGCTGCAAAACAAATCTACAAGTGCTAAAGAAATTTTTAAAAAGGCCAAGTTTGACTTCCTTTAGCAACAATCGTATTCTAATTAGCGAGTTGATACAAAACTCCAGATCAATTGGTTAAGCTTCTCTGCTGCTATAGTAATGCATTTAAAAAAAAAATGCATCTGTCCTTTATGGACCTATATTGATTTACATCTAGTAAAAGCGCACTTTAAATATGCATTCTTTATTTCTCTGTTAGCATACTTATAAACCTATAGTCAACTACTCAGTCTTAAATGGCTTCATGAATTGTTATCTCAGCTCCCACAGGGACAGATGGATCAAAGTGGCTGTCTTGAGTTATGATGTGACAGGGTCACACACAACCTTTTGTGATGTCTAACATATTCACTTAAGTGCATCTGGTTGATTATGCAATGCTTGAGGTGGATGATGTGTCTCAACTAGTCATGAGTTAAATTTAAAATTAATTGTGCACCTTCAGGTCTAACAGTTGAGTCATCTTTCTACAGAGAAATCACTAATGCAGCATGTTACTAAGCAGAATATACTGTAATGTAATAATCTGTTTTCCACTGGAAAACATATGTAAGTCAGACTTGCAATGTTTATTCTTAAAACACGTAGGATGTCCTAGAGCCATGAAGCCATTCACTGTAAGCCATGAAAAATAAGTTTGGTTTAGAGATGAAAGTGGCTGGAGGCTGTGACCCACAGGGACTCAGAAGGAAACACTTAGAAAATAGAGACAGATTGAATCCCAAGTGCTCTCTCCCAAGAGGAAGCATGGTTGGAAAGTTTAAAACCCATTAAAGTTAAACAAATTGAAAAGCCCTATCTGAGAGGAAACATAGTACAATGTTTATTTTTCCATTACAAACCTGAGACCTGAAAGATTTCCTGAGGTTCTCAGGTATTGTTCATGCTTATAATGGAGATCTGTTTTTAGAAAGCATAATTCATGTGTTTAATCCAACTGTTTGATGAAAAACACACTGCATAAGCATTCAGGAAGTTAAAGGCCATTGTATACCTGTATCGCATATTGTTTGGATAGGAGCAGACCTACAATGCAAGGAATCTCATTGTGAAGCTCTCTCACTCAAAAACATTGGGTCTAATTCTCTGCCCATTTAGGCGGCTGGACGAATTCCACTGAATTAATGAAGTTAAGACATGAG